GCAAATATTTGGAAAAAAAATAGCATCTATAAAGGACATGTGCAGGTTTTTTCCCTGTCATTGTTCCCTAAACAATATAACTATTTACTTAGCATTTACATTGTTTAGATATTTTAAGTCAGGTAGAGATGATTTAAGTATATGGGAAGATGTACATATTATATATATATATATATATTCTTTGTATATGAGAGATTTGAGCATTTGGAGATTTGAGTATCTGAGCGGGTTCCTGGAACCCATCTCCCAAGATATACTGAGGACTCTGTCATTTCTATTTCTTTGAATTTCCGTAGTAGTTTTTCTCTGCCTTTCTTATGACATACTTTCTACACTGGAGTAGGGCAGTTTCTGCCAAGGCCTTATCTTTCTGTTAGATGAAGGCTCCTGTGGGGAAGTTGGTATTTGAATTTTCCCTGTGCTACCCACAGAGACTAGCCAATTGCTTTGGGCATTATGGGCATTCAGTCAATATTTGTTGAATGAATGCATGGAGAATGAATGAACGGAATATATTCTGGGAACACACATCTCTTGGATAGTGAGGTAAATGGTTAAACAAACAAAAAATCATTCTAAGACAATTTGTCTTTTTATGCGGTGGCCCTTCCAGCCTCTTAGACAAGTCCCTCCATTCTAACGCAAAAGCTTAAAGTGTAATAAAAATTTATCTAATTCACGATCAAGTGAAAATACTTTGGGCCCAAAGCCAAAGAATATTACTGGAGTGAACTTTTTTCAGCACCCTAAATTTAACCAGCTGGAATTCTTTTTTTAAGTACCATCCTATTCAACCTTTTGAAATGAAGGATTTGCCTTTTAGTGGGAAATCTGCATTTGAACACAAAGATGGAACACAATGTCTCCGGTTTAGTTATTCTTCAGAAAAGCAAGCTCTTTTTTTCCCTTTGAATTATATGCTTTGCTTATGTTAAAGACACAGATTGCACAAAATTTTGTTTAGGCCTGACAGATTGGTGGCTTGCATTTTTTGCATTTTTATAGACGAAGGGGCATGAAAGATGTCATCTCTCCCTCTTCCTTTATAAAAAGAAAACCTGAAACAAGAACTCTTAAAAGGTGAAATTAATAACCTGCGTTTTGGATAATGATGGCTCTGAAAGGATAGAATTGGCAGAGAAGACTGTTTAAATGGGTGATCAATTTAATTGAAGTCACTGCTGAAGTATCAAATAGTATAAAGACCACGAACCGGTTTCAGCAATCTATTCTGTGGTGTGGTGTCTAGAATTCTTGCTAGCTTTCATCTTTGCAGAACACACTTTTTAAAGAGCATCTTGATTTGGTAAAAACTTAAGCCGGTAAAAAAAAAGCAATGAAGGAAAAAAATGGCCATGGACATGCTCATTTGTAGAACAAAAGAGAATGTGATTTTGACAATATCAGAAGGTTAATTAGGAATTCTGTTAGCAGTGATAAAGCTGGCACGTGTTCAGTCCAGACTGACATAACTCAAGACACAGTCATGGCTGCTTGTTCTAGAAAATCAGAGGCTCTCAGAAAAGACTGGAGCCAAGGTAAATACAGGGTCAAGTGCTAGAAGCTGTTGACCAGAAAGGACATTTCAGAGGACTTGCTTTCCAGTTAGATAAAGAAGCTTCTAGCCCATATTAGCTGCACTGTGGTTGTTTGTATGGCTTGCACCCAGCTGTGGGATTCATGCTGGAATTGGTTTCTTTGGGGGAACTTCACAAACATTCAGGATTCATTGTAAGTAGAGTTCAGAAGGTGGCTACTTGGAGGACTGACAGTTTGAGGGACTGGAAAAGGGATAGGACTGTGCAAGTCCTTTTTCTGGTCTGTCACCAACATAGAGATTTTTCTTACTCATGTAAGTTGTCAGTCTTTCTCTTCTTGGGGACTCAAGGTGAATGGGAGGTTTCAGCTTCACAAAATGGTTTGTTTCACTTGGGGATGAGATTACCTAAACATATACAGAGTCCAAAAAATGTGTGCACTAGGAAAGGAAAAACCTGGGTAAATATTTTAATATTAAATTTATCGAGATGTCATGAGGTCATTATGTTACCTTGAGCCTCTACAATTACAAAGGGTGCTCAGATTGGTGACCATTAACTTCCAGGCATTTATTAGTATGGTGAATTGCTGAAGTGCGTACATTGTTTTTGGCAGATTCTATCTATTTAAGAAAAAATGAATACATATGTATACATAGACATTTTAGTGAACAGCATGCCTCTCTGTGCTCTTGTGGAGAGGACTGGGACATTTGTGTGTGGGTGTGTACACATGTGCTGTGTATCAACTGAGGGCCTGGCACATGCCAGGCAAATGCTATACCACCCAGCTATATCCTCAACTCTTAGGCCTGGGATTTTATACATGATAACAGCTGAGCTCCCAAAGCAGTCATTAAGTGTGACAGACACAATGCTTTGGGCTTCACTGTTTGGCACATTTGAAGATCAGTAGTATGTGTTCAGTAGAAGACAGCAACGTGCCTATCTTACATGCCTACTAGTTAGTTGAAGAAATGTGTAGCGTGTTAACAGTCATGGCATCTTTGACATATCCTTCAGGAAACTTAATTTAATGACCCTAAGTTCAGAAATGTCTCACTGGGCTCTGGCTCAAAAGCAATACCTGGTATATATAGAAATGTAAAGTGACCAGTAAATAACATCAAATTAAAGCCATTCTTAGATTTTTAAATGAGATCTGAAAAATTAGACTCACTAGTTTTTATTCAGCTCTCAGGAAACTTTGCAACCTAACAAAGCATAAAGCATTTCTGAGACCCCAAGTGGAATGACACTAGAGGCACCTTCATAAAACAGAACAGAAACACCTTCTGCAAAAGAAGTAAAGTCATTTGGATAGAGATGACTTCAGAGGAGGGTAGCATGTCACATTCCAGAATCTGGAAAGGAAAACAAAAGTGCACACCAATAAAGCATGCTCATTTATTCATTTATTCTTATGGTGCTGGGGATTGAACCAGGGCCTCACACATGCTAGATCAGTGCTCTGCCAGTGGGCTACCTCCTCAGGCAAACATTTCAGCTTTTAGGGAAAATCAGGACATTATCTGTCTAATACTGGGAATTGTCTTATGTCAGGTGAGATCCCTGCTTGAAGAGACTGGGCATGGCCAGTGATGCATGAGTAGATAGATAATGGATAGATGGAGAACCCTTAGGGACTCCTCTGATTTTGACTGTTCTGGTTTTAAAGAAGTTGGGTCCTGGCAGAAGGGGTAACAACCTCATGGCCCACAGGTCTCTGCCCAGGGACATCAAAGCTTCGGTCTTCCTTATTTCCCCCTACCCTAGGATGGGGTTATTAAGCTTGGCTGTGCATCAGAATCACCTGGAGGACTTCTTCAGTGTGGACTGCGTCTTCCCCACCCACCTGCAGTTTCAGATCCTATAAGTCTGGGGTGGGGCCCAAGAATTTACATTTCCAGCAGGCTGTCAGGAGTTGCTGTTGCTGGTCATGGGTCTGCACTTTCCTGAGAACACCAACCAAGAAATCAAGAGAGCATAACTGTACTACTACTTAACTGAGTCCATCTCTCCCATGGGAGAACAAAAAATGAGGTTAGGGAGAGAAACAGCCCTCAACTAGCACAGATCTTTTCCTCTCTTGGCCCAGGAAGGCAGAGCTGCGCATTGAGTCTGATGTTCAGAAGCATTAATTGTGATACTTTGCTTTGCCTAAGCTGTGATGAAATAATTGAAGGCATCATAGCAAGAAGTTAAGCCCTAGGGAGGCTATTAAAAATTTAGCATTGCCAGTTCGTGTGGGAATGTCAGTTCTCCTTACCAAGGAGAATGTTATGGATGTGTTTAGTGAAAAAAGCAGCAGAATCAGCTGAGTTCCCAACTGGCTCTGCTTTTTGACCATCTTCCTGGAAGAAGAAAAACACAAATCCAAGTCTCTGGCACAAAGACCGGTGTGCTGTTTTCTAAAGTAAACAGCTCACTGGGCTGAGAGCAATGCTTTGTTTTTCCTCAGCAGGTTCATTCTGCAGGGGAAGCACAGGTAGAGGGTGAACAGTGGGGCTCAGGCCAGGAGGCCCCAGTGAAAGAGCGGAAACCAAGTCAGTTCATTGGAACCTTTTGAAAGCCGGTCTTCACCCTGCTGGCTGGACTCTCCACTGAGAGATTTTCTAGTGCTGCCCAGTGGGTCAACAGAGATAGAACCAACTTTAGGCTCTTTTTGGCAAAGGGACAGCAGAGGGGAGAGATAGATGCCTCAGGAAAGAACACAGGCCAGGAGAAGGGAGACTAACGCTAATCTTGACTTTGTGATTAGCCTCAGTTCAACTAGGAACACACTGCTTAATTTTCCTAAGGCCCCATTTTTCCAGTCTGTAAAAATGAAGCACAAACTTCATTAAAGCTCTTTATGCTTGGTCCCAAACCAGGACCATGATGCGGGGTACTCAGACTCCATGGTAGATAAGAGCTCTCTTTTTCTCTTGGTCCTGGCTGCTGCTCTGAGTTCAGCTTGTTCAGAGCTAACAGATTAGCAGACGACTTCCAAGTAGAGATAATGTACGTGGCAGAGGCAGGATGGGGTTAACAGTGTGCTTACTTCTTGTCTTCCCAAAGTGGCGCGGAACTTGAAATTAGACTTTCCCCATGCAAGGGTCCAAAGACCTGTTGCCATTGTGCTGGGATCAGTTGTGTGACTTTCTTTCCTTCTTTTTTGGTCTTTTTCGTTTTTATCGGTACCAGGGATCGAACTCATGACTGCCTGCTTGCAAGGCAGGCACTTATGCCACTGAGCTAAATCCCCAGCCCCCGGTTGTGTGACTTTCTTAAGAAAAGAATTTTAGTTTCTGCGACAGATAACTTTGCTGAGGCATGAACAGGTGCAAAAGAGAGTTCTCAGATTTCTCCTTGTAAACTACACGGACTAAATCTGTAGTTAATTTTATCCTAACCTCTCAATTTATTTAACATAAACAACCAAATGTAGACTTACTTACTTCCTGAGGCCAGTCTTCCCACTTTTTGATGGTTTCATTTTATGGTTTTTATTTTGTTTCAGATCAGAGAGGAAGAAATGTCTCTCCCTAGATGGTTTTAGACAAGGTCATAGCTCCCTGATGGCTTCCTTTTGCAGACCTGGAAACAACAGATTATTTATAATTTCAGTATAACAGCTTTCTCCAGCCACACGCTATTGTTACCCACCAGGGTCCTCACGAAAGGGAACTTGTCCTAACTGCCCTGGCTGCACTTGGCAATGTGGCTTATACAAGAGCAGGACTTGCTATCCTAGAGTACATCCAATGTCATTTCTAAGTGTTCTTAATATTGAGCTAATGGGAAACATGCTTTGCTCACCATTTTTTCTCCCCTGCCTTCTCCAATCATCACAAGCTTCAAACCTCTGTAGAGCACACAGTGACCCCTGTTCCATCTGTCTTTCCCCCGTCTCAGAGTTGACATCAATACAGTTAGTTTTCTGAGATGGATTTGGAAAAGCTGGACATTTACCACAGAAACTGTGCAATCCCCAGGTCACACAAACCAAATTTCCTTTCCTGCAACAATCTCAATGCTAGAAATGCTTGATTGGCTCCTGGATTTATGAGTGTGAAAAGTCACTTTTCCTTACCAGGTGTACAGTAGAATGGGGCGAGTATGCTCTGGTTTCTGGTTTCTGGATGCTGCTATTATTGGATGTTGGTTCTTTCCTTGTCATTTTATGATGTGATCCCTCAGCCTCAAGGAGGAAACTTGGCCAAAGTTACTTAACTCCAGAAATCTAATCTTCATTTTCAATCACTCAGTACTGGGAGAAAGCATGCCAGTACCAGATACTCCATTTGATAGAATGTTAGAGTGTTTCCTGACCAATCCTGTAATGCCCCCGGTTTCCCTATCACTGATGGTTCTATCATAAGTATGACATGGGAGGAGTTGGGGGAGGGGGAGGTAGAATGGGACTGTCCCATAAAAAATGGTTCACAAACCAATTCACTTCCCACTAGTACACTGTATTGCTTTTTATTTGGGCTTGCCTATAAAGTAAAGCAAATGTATGCATGTAAACCAGCCTTGCAGATAAATCCCATTTTTCTCAGCCTCCCCATAAGATTACCAATTTTCTTCTTGCTATTTGCACAGATCTCTTATCATGAGACAATAACCAAATAACAACAGATAATCAAGCAAATGAACCTAAGAATCACCCCCACCTCTCTACCTAACACAAACCTCTTTTCTTTTTGTCCCAAAATTCCAAAATTAAAAACGAAACACAAACTATGGGAAACAACTCAACACTATTCTTTTGTTGCAGATATCGGGCCTATTAACTATCTGCAAGGCTGTTGTAATGATGCTAATCTATTTTAATGGAACTGAAATGTGATATCCTGTGGTTTATGATGCACATTGTTTATGGCTGTAGTGCTTGATTTTGGGTTTCTTTCACAGATAAACTTCTGCACTGGAGGGGCCTGTCCTCCCCTCGTTCTGCACATGGAGCTCTAATCCCCACGCCTGGGATGAGTGCAGAATATGCCCCGCAGGGTATTTGTAAGTTGAGCATTATTTCTTCTACAAATGTCCATGTGTCTAGAGAGTAGACTTTCTGGAAATTGCCCTTACTTTTTTTAAGTACTGAAGGGAGTTACTTCCAAAATAGATTGGCACCAGCATATGTATTATGCCATTACTCACTTGGCTCCTGCTCCTCCATTCCACTCAGCCCCCGAGTGACAGACATGTCCCCGCACTCTTTCTGTCTTTCTTTCTTTCTTTCTTTCTTTCTTTCTTTCTTTCTTTCTTTCTTTCTTTCTTTCTTTCTCTCTTTCCTTCTCTTTCTTTCTTCTTTCTTTCTTTCTTTCTTTCTTTCTTTCTTTCTTTCTTTCTTTCTTCCTTCCTTCTTTCCTTCCTTCCTTCCTTCCTTCCTTCCTTCCTTCCTTCCTTTCTTTCCTTTCTTCCTTCCTTCCTTCTTTTCTCACTGAAGGCATGGAGTTCATGGCAGCTTATCCTCGAGGGTCTGCTGCTCCTGGTCTTGCCTGGCTCCATGCTGGTGGCTGGATATGTCTGTGCATTCAGATCCTATTTTATTGCTGGACATTCACTCCCGTGGCCTCATTGAGGGCTTGAATTTATTTCATGATATGTAGCAGAGTCCAGAGTCACAAGGAATCCATTTAAAGTTATTCTGGGACTTTGCATGTTATTTATGCATTTATGTATGTATTTGAATATGGTATATTTATATATACATGCTACATTATATATGTGCATGTATATACAAAATTTGTGCTTATTTTTCTTTAGTTTTAGAGAAAAGTGCACAGAATTATACTTAAAATGTAAAGATTCTCCCACCATGGCCACTATCATCCATTTACTTGTTCAACTCAAATTTTATAGTAGAACCTTTTAATGAAATTTAGATATGTTCATTTATAAGAAAGTTTTCTGAAGGATGTTTTGAAAAGTAATTCATTTTGTTTCAGTATGTAGAAACACATGATATGCATGGTTGAAGTGTTGGGGACAGAGGTTGACTCTACCTCAAACAAAAAAAGCAGGTTCAAGAAAAAGAAGCATGACAACTATTTTGTATTTTGAAAGTAAACAAATAAACAGACAGACAAAAAGCCTGCTATCAGAAAGAAAAAAGAAAGGGAAAGGATCATGGAAAGAAAATAATAAGAATAAGGTGTAAGAGTTAAGGCTAGGAAGGGTTTGTTTTTTTTTTTTAAATAAAGGAGGGAAACCAGACTTACCTTTCGGTGAATGAAGTCCGCAGGGCACCGCGAGCACCCTGAGACCAAATTCTAAGTCAGTTGTTTATGTTTGCTAACTCCTAGGTAATCCCAGGTAACAAAGAGTTATTGCAGCAGTTTCAGAAGCCCTTGGGTCCTGAGGGTTGGGTGGCACAGGGGTTAAAGCACCAACCCCCAGAGCCTGGGCAGGTCACGCAGGCAGCGAGTTTAGAGGACTGGGCTCATGACTTCAAGTCCCTACATGCTGGCAGGGTGGGGAGTACTCTGCCTTTTGCTAGGGGTGCCTGGGGCACCCTGGGAGGGAAGGGAAACAAGCAAGGTGTGGAGAGGAAGGTGGAGCTGAGAGGTTTCTGCTCAGGGAAACAGTCCAGTCCTCAGTCTTCAGCGTGGTCTTCCCGAGGGCAGGGGGTCTGGTTGATGGGTTGGAAAGTGGGACCTCAGTAGGGAACCTCTTTATCCTCCTCTACTGGCGGGACCAGTTTAGGAGTGACGAGAGCAAGATATGTGGGCATTGGTGCAGGGTTCCAGCAGGCACTAGGACAAAGCTGATGCCCACCTCACCCAGCTGCGGGTGCCTGTGGCTTTCCTATGACCTCCCTGGTTGTGGAACCGGAACAGTGACTTGAAATTGCCCCCTGCTGGCTCCCTAACCAGAGCTAAGGGTGAGACTGCACCTGGACCTTCTCCTGGAAGCTGTTCTGGGCGTGTAATGTGGTTAGTCATTACTCCCAGTAATTAATCACGCCTGGTAGTAATGAAAACTCACATGAATGTTAGACCTGATAGTTTACGGAGGGCTTTTATATGCTTATGTCATTAAATCCTTACAACAGTTCTTTAAAGTTATTATTTTTATACTCATTTTACAGACAAGAGTCTGAAGACTCAGAGAAGTTAAATGACCGTCCTCTAGTTGCAAGCTAGTAACAAGAGTTAGGGGCTCTGTGTCAGTTCTTACTCCAAAATTTGAGGCTTAAATCATATGACTTTTTGCACTGGTGACTCACTACAAATGGGAGGTCATTCCTTCCCATAAAGTAAAATGAAATAAAATAAAATCTAGTAGGTAGGCTAACAGCTGCTTTTAACCCTTTCAATGCTTTGAGTTCTTGTGCTTGGGGGCTACATCTCAGTTTATTGCTTTAAATCAAAATAATCCCCGTGAATGCCCAATGAGGCTCTCAAATTGAGAAGTTGATTTTCATCAGAGTAAATGAAGAATATTATTATATTTTACACATCAATAAATCAATGTAGGCCTAATTTTGCCATGCAGGAAATCAATTCTGGTCTTTCTAAACCATCAAAGATGTTATGAACAAAGTAATTTCACAAATTATGGCAAGTAACACATTTATTGATGACTGTAGTTTAGGAATTTAGAATCTGTGAACACTGTAATATAATATGGTGCACTGGCATGAACTGAGTGAAATACAGATTATATGGTGAAATTGTAATGCATCATTTGCTATTAGTGGACTGGTAATAATTACCAGTTTGAAAGCAGCTCTTTCCATGTAATCTTTAGTCTCAATCGTAACAGCCCTTCTCATTGACATTATGATTACACTAGCTGCCCTCATGATCTAGAATATCTAGTTGATGGGAATACTAAAATACTATAGTGAAATCTGTATGTTATATGCTCATTGTAAGATAAAATGCCATTTTCTCTGACCTGCTATATGAGAGCGGGAAGGAGAGCATCAGTGTTAACATCCTTCGGTATAGTCACAGAAGTGGCTCTGAAAAAAATTTTAGGAATCTCAGGACAAAAAAACAAAATGTACTTTTCTTGTTTAAGCCCCTTGGAAAGGGTACAAATGAGATTCTTGATGTAGGGCCCCAAGCCACAGACTCCGGCATTTATCAGTGGCCGCATCACAGCACGTGTGTGTCCGGCATCAGTAATTAGGAGTCCAGTCCTGGTTTTCAGGAGAAGATTATAAGAGTAAAATATGATCTGAAGGCATTTGGAGTGATGAAAGTGTTAAGGGCTTGCTTCAGCTGAAAAATCTCCTTTTTACTTACCCAATTCCAATTGTCAGGCTAAACGTATGATAATAACCCAGAGTCCTAGGGAGGCACAGAAGAAAGCCACAGAAGGTCACCGTAGCTGGAACCAGATAGTTTTTTCCCTGCCTATTTGGGACCCAAGTCATTGTTCAACAACAACAAAAATTTTATGAAAATACTCTCAATGAAGCTTTTTATTTCCCTTTGAAGAGAGGAGGCAAACAAAAATAGGCAGATAATGTGATACTAATGTCAGCATTTTCTTTCAAAATCTTGCGGCCTTTTTTTCCCCCCTTGCACATTAGACAAACGTTTGAAACCTAATTTTGGTATCTTACCATCTAATCTTGTTAAAGAGATTTACCCAGGAGTGGGATATATTGAGTGAGATTATAAATGCATTGTAAAGTAAATTACAAGGTCAGGGCAGGAGTCCATTATTTAGACAAGTGCTGGAGCGAACTGGCTTGTTTTGGAATATGAGTGTTTGAGGCTCCTGAGAAGCTCCTGCCAGCTTTTCTTTTTGAACTGCTAAAATGGAGAAATCATATAATTGATGAATTCCTCATTCCCATTTTTTAGTTCCTTGGTGAATTTTGTCCTTTTAAAAAAGTTACTGACAAATGCTAGCTATTGGACTTAAGGAAACTGTCAGGCCCTCTTAAAACAAGAAGGAAGTTTATTGCTCAGTTATATTTTAAGTTCTACTCTTTTCAGAGTCCCTGGGACAGCATGTATTGCTCTCATCTTTGTCCCTAGGCCACCATCACTTGTGTGCCCCTTTTTAAGTTGATTGGTAAACTGCCATATATATATATATTTCAATTTAGCTATCTCTAAAAATGAATGATTTTGTGAAGTCAAGCTGGCCCCCTCTCTGCCAAAGTGGCATTTACCACTCTTGGGTTTTTTTTCAGCAAGCGAGAAATAATGTGACTTCAGCAGGGCCCCTCTCCAGACGGCTTGGCTACTGGCCAAAGAGTTGACTAGCTGAACTGTGTCTTTCTGTTTCTTTCTCAACTGGAGCCTCGTCTCAGCCGAGGGCGCAGGATGTTGTATAATTTGGTTCACGTTGTTAGCCTCTCAAAATAATGAGGAGGAGGCTAGTGTAGCATTGCTCAGCTGCCTGTCGTGGTGCCGGCTGCCTGAACTGTGCCTCCTACCCGGGTAGTGTGTTTGCTGGAGTTGGCCCGGCCACACCTAACTTCTCTAGGCGTGCATTGATTGCACTGGGGGACAACCCCTAAAGATTTGCTACCGGCCTTCAGTTAAATCTGGATTGAATTTTTCTTTTGAGATTTTCACGACATCCCTTGAGATTAAAAATGGGTGTCCCTGTGGGGTGTTATGAGCCAAAGCTAGAACTCACTGACTTGTACACAGGCCAAGATGGGAGGAGGTTGCTAGTTTCTCTTTCAATGAAGATTTTTGAGTCCCCTTCTCATTTTCACAATATCAGTAATGAGCATATGTTAGCCTAAGCTGCTGTAGGGCCATAGAGCATTGGAGTGTATTGACCTTCTCTTTTGTGGTGTCTCTGGAACAACTGCATTTTAGCAAGTTCACCTGCCATCCACCCGGGGATAGACAAGGACAATAGGGTTCAGGAAGCAAAACTGTTCCTTGGGTCACTAACAGTTGAGGAAACCAAGTACACAGAGATTAAATGGTTTATCCCCAATTGCAGCTGATGATGTGATAAAAAAGTTCAAAGACATCCGCTGAGGTCCCTAGATTATAGGACTCCTTATCTTCTCGCTCAAATTGGTCAGAATTTTTCTGCTTTTGGGATTGGATAAAGAATTCTTAGAATTGAGTTTTAGGGAGGGAAGACTGATTTGACAAATATCTAGTGAGTACCTCACACAAGTGCCACACACCATTTAAGCAGAGGGTTGGTTGGTTAGTGCATGAGGGGTTAAGTCTTGGGGCTGAGGGTGGGTGCAGGGAAGGTTGGAGCTGGGACATGAATAAGCAATTGCTGACGCCCGCTTGGTGATTAAACATTGATGTTGGTGTTGTATTATTTTGCAGGTAAAGATGAGCCCAGCAGCTACACATGTACAACTTGCAAACAGCCATTCACCAGTGCATGGTTTCTCTTGCAACACGCACAGAACACTCATGGATTAAGAATCTACTTAGAAAGCGAACACGGAAGTCCCCTGACCCCGCGGGTTGGTATCCCTTCAGGACTAGGTGCAGAATGTCCTTCCCAGCCACCTCTCCATGGGATTCATATTGCAGACAATAACCCCTTTAACCTGCTAAGAATACCAGGATCAGTATCGAGAGAGGCTTCCGGCCTGGCAGAAGGGCGCTTTCCACCCACTCCCCCCCTGTTTAGCCCACCACCGAGACATCATTTGGACCCCCACCGCATAGAGCGCCTGGGGGCAGAAGAGATGGCCCTGGCCACCCATCACCCGAGTGCCTTTGACAGGGTGCTGCGGTTGAATCCAATGGCTATGGAGCCTCCTGCCATGGATTTTTCTAGGAGACTTAGAGAGCTGGCAGGGAACACGTCTAGCCCACCGCTGTCCCCAGGCCGGCCCAGCCCTATGCAAAGGTTACTGCAACCATTCCAGCCAGGTAGCAAGCCGCCCTTCCTGGCGACGCCCCCCCTCCCTCCTCTGCAGTCCGCCCCTCCTCCCTCCCAGCCCCCGGTCAAGTCCAAGTCATGCGAGTTCTGCGGCAAGACGTTCAAATTTCAGAGCAACCTGGTGGTGCACCGGCGCAGCCACACGGGCGAGAAGCCCTACAAGTGTAACCTGTGCGACCACGCGTGCACGCAGGCCAGCAAGCTGAAGCGCCACATGAAGACGCACATGCACAAGTCGTCCCCCATGACGGTCAAATCCGACGACGGCCTCTCCACCGCCAGCTCCCCGGAACCCGGCACCAGCGACCTGGTGGGCAGCGCCAGCAGCGCGCTCAAGTCCGTGGTGGCCAAGTTCAAGAGCGAGAACGACCCCAACCTGATCCCGGAGAACGGGGACGAGGAGGAAGAGGAGGACGACGAGGAAGAGGAAGAAGAGGAGGAAGAGGAGGAGGAGGAGCTGACGGAGAGCGAAAGGGTGGACTACGGCTTCGGGCTG